GAGATGAGAGCCCGCCTCTCTCGGGAGCGCTCGGCGGCCATTTTGTCTTCCCTGCGCCATTTCAGACTGGGCAGCTCTGTTCACTTGAAGGAATTTCAGAGGCTGCTGGGGCTCATGGCGTCTGCTGCAGCGGTATGTCATCTGGACTTACTACACATAACTCCTGCAATTATGGTTGAAATCTCGAGTCCCTTGGACAATGTGGACTTTGGGCCGTTTGCGCATCGCGGTCTCCCGCGGCTGCATCGAAGCTCTGAGGCCGTGGCGCAACCCAGATCTCTTCAGCCGGGGGGTTCCCCTCGGCTTGGTGACGTCACGCGTTGTGGTCACGACGGACGCATCGACTCGCGGCTGGGGAGCAGTGTGCGAGGGCATGCCAGCTTCGGGGCTGTGGTCAGAACCCCAGAGCCGGTGGCACATAAACCGCTTGGAGCTGAAAGCAGTGTTCTTAGCTCTAAAGGATTTTCGACCGCAGCTGGATCAGCGACAGGTACTGATTCGCACCGACAACATGTCTGTGGTCTCGTACATAAATCACCAAGGAGGCGTACGTTCCAGGGCTTTGTACAAGCAAGCAGCGAATCTCCTGCTATGGGCGGACCGTCACTTTCTCTCCATCAGCGCGGTGCAGGAGGCGCATGTGTAGTAAGCCCAGATGACATACCGCTGCATGCTTTCGAGGAAGGGGATTCCTCAAGGAGAGTGGAGGTTGAACCCCGAGTCGGTTCGGATGATTTGGACCCACTACGGGAGGTGTATCTGTTCACCACGAGCGAGAATGCGCACTGCCCGCTGTTCTTCTCCCTGTCTCACTCCCCGCTGGAGGGGGACGCTCTGACATCGCACTGGCCAGCAGCCAGGCTGTACGCATTTCCTCCAATCAAGATATTGCCACTGGTGTTATGCAAGATCAGGGAGGAGGGGGCTTCGGTGAGACTCATCGCCCCGAACTGGTCGAACCAGCCTTGGTTCCCGGACCTGACAGAGCTGCTGGTGGCGCCGGCCTGGCCGATCCCCATCAGGAAGGAGGAGTGTTTGTGAAATGGTGCCATGATATTCATATCGACCCGGCTGCTTGCTCCGTGTCAGATGTGCTGCGTTTTCTACAGTACAGACTGGATACTGGATCTCTGCCATCAACACTGAAAGTCTATGTGGCCGCTATTGCCTCATTTCGTTCCCCGCTGGGCGGGCAATCGATCGGTAGGCACGCGCTGGTGGTGAGTTTTCTTAAGGGAGCGAGAAGATTGCATCCCCCACGTCCGCCTTCAGTCCTGCCCTGGGACCTAGAGGTGGTGTTAAGAGCTCTTTCACAGCCACCATTCGAGCATTTAGCATCCGTTGATATGAAGGAGCTATCTCTCAAAACTGCACTTCTTGCACTCGCTTCGGCTAAGCGCATAAGGGATTTACATGCGTTTTCTGTGCACAGTGACTGTATTCGCTTCGGACCCGGTGACTGCAGCGTCACTCTCCGGCCGAGGCCGGGCTACGTGCCTAAATCACTATCTACCCCCTTCAGAGCGCAGACTGTTTCGCTGTCTGCCCTGTCTTCTGAGTCATCGACCTCGCGTGATGCGGACGCTCAGACTTCGGTGTGCCCCGTCAGGGCTTTGAGGATTTACATTGACCATTCGGCCAACTTTCGGCAATCTGACCAGCTTTTTGTGTGCTACGGTGGTTGTGTGAAGGGCCGGGCCGTGTCAAAACAGAGACTTTCCCACTGGATTGTGGACGCTATCACAGCTACTTATATGAGGTTTGGAATGCCCCTTTCACATTAGGGCCCACTCAACGCCTCCTCCTGGGCGTGGTCGAGAGGTATGTCTATTCAAGATATATGCTTTGCAGCCAGCTGGTCTTCTCAGAATACCTTCGCCAGGTTTTACAAGCTGGACGTTCAGTCCTTAGCCTCCCGAGTGCTGTCGGTGAGTGACTGATTCACGTTTATGCTACCTCTATTCGTGTGTTGCTGCCTC